TGGAACTTTGTCACAGGACTTTAGCTCCACTCTCTGGGCTGTCCCGCTCCAAAGAAAGCAGAATTCAGCTTCTGACAGTGCTCATGCCTGTTAACAGCAAGCCAGGTTACACAGGGTTCCCAGCTCAGCCTTCCTGGTAGGTGCAAATCACAGGTACAAACCACAGTCAGCACACCGAGCAGAGGGTTAGGACAAGGCTGCAGTGGTGGTGCACACCCTTGATCCCAAGTGCTGGGATTGAAGGCACACACACCACCACCACCACCACCACCACCACCACCACCACCACCACCACCCAGCTAAAATCCCTGTTTCTTCGCATTTAGAGGACATACAACCTAGGGCTGGAGAGATGGCTCAGAAGTTAAGATACATACTGTTCCTGCAGAGGACCCAAGTCTGTTTCCCAGCACCCACATCAGGCAGCTCCCCTTGGCCTGTGACTCCAGCTCCAGGAGATTGACACCTTTGGCCTCTGAGGGCACCAGCACTCACCTGTACATACACACACACACACAATTAAAAATTATATATGGAGCTGAGGATCAAACCCAGGGCCTTGCGCTTGCTAGGCAAGCGTTCTACCACTGAGTTAAATCCCCAACCCCCAAAAATTATATATATTAAAGGCTACAACCTGCTCAGACACAGGTCAAATATGTTAGGCAGTCTGTTACTATCTATGACATCATTTCCATCAGTGTATTCCAGTTTTATGGACAGTCACTGATATCTTTGAAGAACTTCTCCATCTACATATATATGCCCCTCAGAGCCTCAGTCCACTTATCTCTATGTATAAATTGACTTACGTTTGAACTATTTATCCAAGGACTCAAAATATTTGACTTTATTGATTTTGGTATGTTTAATTTGAGAGTAATTTTTTTCTTCCTGACTTCAAATTCAAAGGGAAAAGTATTTAATGAAACCTTTCTAATATGACCAAATTATGAAAATTATCAAATAACTTTTTTTAGTTATAGATTTTTTTAAATTTATTTATTTATTATGTATACAGCATATATGACTGCAGGCCAGAAGAGGGCACCAGATCTCATTACAGATGGTTGTGAGATACCATGTGGTTGCTGGGAATTGAACTCAGGATCTCTGGAAGAGCAATCAGTTTTCTTAACCTCTGAGCCATCTCTCCGGCCCCAAATAACTCTTCTAAGTCAGATGTAGTAATTAGCTCTTAAAACCACAGCACTCAGGAAGCTGAGGCAGGAGGGTTTCAGTGAGTTCAAAGCCAGATTTGGGTTACACAGTGAATTCTAGGACAGCTTGGATCACAGTATGAAGTACTCTCTGAAAAAAATAAACTCATAGAGGCCGAAGATGTAGCTCAGTTGGTAGACTGCTTGCCTAATATATATACATTATATATATATTGTATTTGTATTATATATATATGTATTGTATTATATATATATACATTATATATATTGTATATATATACAATATATAATGTATATAATATATATACATTATATATTGTATTTGTATTATATATATGTATTGTATTATATATATATACATTATATATATATTGTATTTGTATTATATATATATGTATTGTATTATATATATATTGTATATACATTATATACAATATATATACACAAAGCACTGGATTTGATACCCAGGACCTTGAAAATCAGATACAATGGTATAGACCTATAATCCCAGCACTTTGGAGATAAAGGCAAGAGCATCATAAGTTCAAAGTCACCCTCAGCTACATAGCAAGTTCGAGCCTAGCCTGAGCTGCAGAAGACCCTGTCTCAGTTATAATTTTTATTACAAATGTGTTCACATACATATTGTGTATATGGATGAAAAGCTCTAGGGAGAGAGAATAATGGGGCAGAAAAAGCACAAACTTAAATTTTAAGAATTCCAGCTGGGCCTGGTGGCGCAG